TCGCCCCCAGCCCCTGGTGAGTGGGGTGCGGCCTGATTGTGGGACTGGTCTGTGCAGCCTCGGAGGCTGGGGCAGGCACTGGGGTGAGTCTGCACTGAGGAGCGGGACCCGGACCAGCCAGCTGTGCCTTTGCAGGTGCCACCGCCAGAGCGACCCGTGCTGCCCTGGGGAAGCCAGGCCTGAGGTGGCTGCCAAGGTCTGTGACGCCCCCCGTTCTGTGGGACTTGGGGTGACTGGAGCCTCCTGAGGGCTCCCCTCTAGGTCTCTTCCCTCCAGGCCAGGGTGGTCCACCAGGGGACCCTGTTTGAGAACCTGCCGCCGAAAACAGGGCCACTGGTGGTCACCCACGGTGGGTGGGGGATGAGGGGCGTCCGGGGCCAAAGCCTGGTCCATGGGGACCCAGGGCCCTGTCCTCAGGGGGAAGGCGCGGCTGCTGGGTGGGGGTAGCAGCTCTCCTCTTGGGCACCAGGTGAGTCATGGTGGTCCAGGTGGCCCCATCCTCCTCTCACGGGGCACCCTGGCCACCCCCTGTGGCTGTAGGTGTGGCAGGGCTGCCCCACTCGATCCAGGTGCCCCCGGGCTGCTGTGTCTCCCAGCAGTGCACCCTACAGCCCTGGACTCTCTGGGGAGGTCTGTGCTCCAGGGAGCCGCACCAGGGAGCCGGGCTCCCGCTCCCCGCTCCCCCCAGCTCCCCTGGGTGGAGCGCTTGGCAGGGCCAGGGGCCGAGCTGGGCCTTGCAATATTAGGTCACCCCAGGATGCCAGTGTCACCCCTCGTTGTAGAGGTGAAACAGGCTGAGCCCAGTGAGGGTGTGGGCCCGGAGGCCTGCTGGGCAGCCAGGAGGGCCTTCCCCGCGGCTGCAGGCTGAGCAGCTCCGACTGCAGTCCCCGAGGTGACTGGGGTGGGGGGGATCCTGGAGGCTGAGCTGTGCCCTGAATGGAGGGGAGTATCCAGTAAGTTCCCTTCTGCACAGACTGCTAGTGGGGGGCCAGTGTCCTTGACCCTGGGGTGGGGCTGCTGCCTCCACAGTGTGACCAGGAGGCTCCAGTGAAGGCCGAGGCCTCGGGGGATGTGAGAGGTGGCCGCTGCCCCAGGCCAGGCAGGGGGATGTGCAGGCTGTTCCGGATCTCTGGGCCCTGAGTCCTGCCTGCCAGGCCGCGCCTCACGGGGCATTAAACTGCAGTCACTTCATCTGCCAGGAGCCGTGCCCTCAGGACCAACGGGCAGTCAGGGTTCCGCAGCCTCACTGGGAGCTCAGGGCCCGCCCAGGGGCACCAGGGGTCTGAGCAGCCCCAGGTGCGGTGACAGGGTGGGGCTGGGCCCCAAGTGATAACAGGGAGCAGCGGGGGAGGGCTCCTGTGTGTTGGGAGCTAAAGGGGTTCCCAGGGAGTTGGGAGGAAGGACAGACTGAGAAAAGGCTAGTCTGCCCCAGGCACCTTCAATGACGTGGGAATTGTCACTTGCCCCTGTGGGGTGGCTGGTGGGGACCAGGGACTTCCGGCAACCCCCTCCCCTGCCTTCCATGTGGGGTGCAGCAGCCCTGCCAGCCTCTCATGCCCAGAGCCCACCCCCTCCTCGGGGCTCTGTGGACTGAGTGGGTTCAGGTTCAGAGGACCCCCCCGCCCCAGTAGCTCCCTTCTATCCCCTGGTCTGGACCCCTGGTCTGGCCCTCAAAGACAAGAGGCCTCCTAGCTAGCCCCCCAGCTGCTGGATCCCTCCCCCTCTTCCTCCTCCCCCTTCTCCCCTCTTTCCCCCAAAGCTCAGGGCAGGGGGCATGTCCTCTGGTGCTTTAACTCTCCACTGGCTTCCGGTCCACAGAACCCCAAATCCAACTTCCGGGCTGGGGCCTGGGATCACCTTCGACCTCGGCTCCTTCCTGCGCGCGGGTCCCCGAGCGCCAAGGGCCATGACTGGGGGGCACCCTGACCACTGCCCTGACCCCGCACAAGGACCCCGAGGGGCCCC